ACTAATTATAGATTTATAAAACTTATATCTTAAAATTCTAAACCCTAAATAATGTTTTGATACCTAAAACCCCCTAAACACTTAAAACTAAACCCTAATAGAACATAATTAACCCAAACATAAATAATATAAAGAAAAAATAATTTTGAAAAAGTGGCATTTTTGTAAAGATTTCAAAAGTGTGGCATTTTTGTAAAATGTCTTTGAAAAATGGGCATTTTTCAAAATTTCTCTAGTTTATTTGTTATATTATTGTGAAATAGTATTATAATAAAATAATAATTTAATTAAAAAAATAAAATTGATGTTATAACTTATGACTAATATATATATATATAATGTATTAGAATACATATAAATAAATAAAATAAAATAATTTATTCTAATTTTATATCTAATTATTTACAGCTCAACCAATCAACTAAATATGTATATTAATCAGAACATACTGCATTTAATAGTTAAGTATACCAATCAAGGCCTTAGTTAATAGTTAGGCTGCATTTAATTCCTTACATTAAAACCATCTTTTACATGAATCCATTTCTCTTCCATGTGATCAACCTTCTACTTCCGCTTATAGCCACCGTGACCACCACTTTTGTATATTTGTTGTTGTTGATAAAACCAAAATTTATCATTTTTCGTATATTTTTATTCCAAAAATTAATATAACTCTATCGACCCTTAAAGGAAATGTGTTTCTTACGACCCGTAAAGAAAACCCATTCTTGTTCTTGTTCTCCTTATTCTTTGACTATCATGACGCGTATGAAAATTTGCATACTATTTTTTGTATTCGTTTTCTTGATCTACCTTCTCGTCTCGGTCACAAGGCTTCAATCTAGAGATACTATACATGATCACTTCTCATCTTCTCAAGATCAATCTCAAATTAGCCTAACAAAGATCGATCACATCGTCTTTGGGATCGGCTCGAGCAAGAGTTCATGGCCTTCACGTAGAGAATACGTTAAGCTTTGGTGGGAAGCTCAGAGAATGAGAGGCTGCGTCTTTGTTGACAAGCCATTGTCGTCATCTGATCAGAACCACACAGATTCTCATCTTCTTCCTCCGGTTTGTGTTTCCGAAGATACTTCCCGGTTCAGGTGAATATCGTTTTTATACGTCCAATTTGTGTTACAAGATAGTTCGAAGATTCTATTTATCATTTTTGTTTTGTGTGCTCGTATAAAAAGAAAAAATTAGAATTCTTACTAGTGGTTATCAACAACAACAAATAATATTTTACTAGTAAAGTTATAGACGTTACAACAGATATTGATAATAACGACACAAAATCTACCTTCTTTTAATTTCTTGAAATAAATTAAATTACTAAAATTTCAAAGGATATTTAATCAATTACGAATCCGTCTATTGATCATATGTCTGCCTCTACATTACAGGTATACTTGGGAAGGCGGTGACAGAAACGCGATTCGAATCGCGCGGTGCGTTTTAGAAACCGTAAAGATGTTCAACACTTCATCAAAGGAAGTAAGATGGTACGTATTTGGAGACGATGACACGATATTCATCCCGGAAAACCTCGCTCGAACCCTATCCAAATATGACCACACATCATGGCATTACATAGGATCGAGCTCAGAGATTTATCACCAAAACTTGTTGTTCGGACACGACATGGCGTTTGGCGGTGGAGGGATCGCTTTAAGCAGTTCATTGGCTAACGTTTTAGCTAGAAACTTTGATTCTTGTATAGAACGGTATCCACATTTGTACGGAGGAGACTCTAGGGTTCATGCTTGTGTGCTTGAGCTTGGAGTTGGATTATCTCAAGAGCCTGGCTTCCATCAGGTTTTTGAAAAATAAAATTTTTAAATAGTTATTAATATTTTTTTAAAAAACTGATTACAAATATTTGTTTTTAAGCAGTTTGATGTGAGAGGAAATGCATTGGGAATATTGACGTCACATTCAACAAGACCGTTGGTGTCACTACACCACATGGTTCACATTGATCCAATTTTCCCAAACTCAACCACTTTCTCCGCCGTTCGCCACCTCTTCTCCGCCGTGGAACTCGACCCTCTCCGTATATTTCAACTCTCCGTTTGCTACGACCGTTGGTACTCTTGGACCATCTCTGTCTCTTGGGGCTACAATGTTCAGGTTAACATCTTATATATTGTCTTAGCTTTTTCTTATTTGAGATTACTATATTCAAAATTTGGTTTGGTTCGGTTTTTGTATGGCAAACTTTGTTGCAGTTTTCGGCAATTTTGTTTTTGTTTTTGTGGGGTTTGGATAGAAATAACAATAACAATATTATTTTAGCTAAAATATGTAGTCTATTAGATGCATAATTTTTCATGATCGTAGTAAATCAAAATAAATTTGTTGTTTCAAATGTTAGATCGAAAGTAAGCATTTGGATCTAAGGAATGTTTTGCGAGCACAAGAGACGTTTCGACCATGGCAACAATCTGGTTGGTTGGCAGATGTGTACACGTTCAACACAAGAGAGGTACATCGTGATCCTTGCCAAAGACCTGTCACTTTCTTCATGGAACATGTTTCTTCTATTCGCGATACTGTTAAAAGTGTTTATAAGCAAACTTACCAGAATTGCACATACGATCCTGTTTCATCGCCTCGTAAAATCGAAGAGATTAGAGTGTTTTCAAGAAGACTCGATCCCGATATCAGACAAGTAATACACTCAACCTTTTTTTTTTTTTGATAAAAGTTTATATTTATAGGGGTTAATTTGCCCAATAGACAAAAAAAAAATTATAATCAAATTTGTAACTAAAACTACCCTATGTGGCACAATCACAATCCTTGGATTTAAGTGTTTTAGTTACTTTTTTAGTTTAATTTTTTTCTTTGTTATTTAGCAAATTATCCTATTTATAGGCTAAATAGTAGAATTTTGGTCATCGTAAAAATCATTTGCTATATTAGTAATTATTTGTTGAAATGTCAATTACTATACTTTTTTCCCTAGGAACACTATTCTGTTTACTATACATAAAATTAGTTACGAACATAATTAGGAATATCACATCTAAGGAATACAAGATAATTGCTTGTAAGATGTCAAATAAATAGATATATGCTTGGAAGTACTTTCAAGAGGTTTTAAATTGTAAGAGAAATTCAAGATAACTTTAACAAATGAATTATTTCTATATTTAAATGTCGAGTGGTCGGTCATAGAGAATTTTTTTTTAATAGTA